TTATGAAGCGACGAGAATACTTTTTGTACGTGAAGAAAGTAAAAATAACGACTTTATTCAACAATTCATCTCCTCTGTGTCTCTCCACATTAGCGCCATTTTGTTGAATATCCACTGAACGCAAACTGCGTACGCACTTCTGTGCCAGCTGCGACACAAGGATACGTTTTCTATGTGTATTTACACTTTGATTTGAACGAAAACAGCGCATCCGTGTGTCGCAGCTGACACAGAAGAGCGTACGCTACTTGCGTTCAGCACATATTCTCCAAAATGGCGCTACGGTTATGCGGAGAGACACAGAGGAGAGGAATTGTTGAATAAAGTCGTTATTTTGGTTTTCTTCATGTACAAAAAGTATTCTTGTTGCTTCGTAACGTTACGGTTGAACCACTGATGGCAGATTTGAGTATTCTGACGATGCTTTTCATACTTTTCTGGACCTTGACAGTGTAATTTACTTGGCAGTCAATCGGACAGTCACAAGCCTCCCGGTTTTCATCCAAAATATCTTAAATTGTGTTCCGAAGACGAACGAAGCATTTATGGGTTTGGAACGACATGGGGGTAAGTAATTAATGACAACATTTTCATTTTGGGGTGGAGTATCCCTTTAAATTCTTTCAATTGGAACCCCTAATTGACGGTAGTATACATATAAAGTTGGTAGTGGCTAAATGGTCTGTTTCTATTTTTTTCTTGCACAGCTGTTGGATGCAGAGAGTCTTCAAGCACCCCTGCAGTCTGTTGAAGGCATCTGCGTGAATGATGTGGTGTGGCACACAGGTGCTTTGAAGGGAGACGGACACATGCACAAGGTACTTTTGAATGCCACCTTACGCTGGCAATATCCCACCCAGCAGGTTCGCCATTTCCGGATTCACTGGAGGCATCTCCGTGGTCCTGACCCTCGGATTCCCCCTAGACCCTTGACTCTGATTGGCAGGTCTCACTCCACCCTGTATCGTGTGGTGGAGCTGGAGGTGCCTGCTGCTCTGGGTCTCATAGAGCTGGTGGTGGAGCCTGTGAGCAGAGAGGGATTCAAAGTGCCTGAGGCCCAGTGTGGCCGATGCACACTCAGTTACAGCGCCAGTTCCTCAGAGAACCCATCAGTAATAATGAAATGAAAAGTAATGTACCTCATGAAAATAATAATGTACCTTCTTCAAAACTGTAATATTTTAACCAAAGTCTCTTCATGAAATTCGCTTGTTTATGCATTTCTGTGAAAACAAAAAAGAAGATGATCCTAGTTTTCTTTCTTCTTGACTTGCAGATACATTATTTGTGTTATAAATGAATGGGAACGGTAAACAACATTAAAGTTAGTTCTCTCTTAGCACATGTAGATTTCAGGCAACAATTCAAACTGTATTAAAAAATTATGACTTTATTGTTTGCAGGCATTCAAATGTACAAATTTTACAAGACAGGCATTGAAAAAAAAGACATTGATTACATTAAGATCTCAACCAAAAGATAAAAAAAAAAAAAAAAAAGTCGTCAGATTTTGGTAACATTTTTAAGTGTTGATTGTCTAAAAGTGGTTAGCAAGCCAATCCAGTTTGTATGTGAATAATATCCATCACTCCTGCTGAGTCACCATCTTCAACATCCGCAAAGCCATTGGCCCCTGGTCAGATGGGATCTGTGATGATGTAATGGATAGAGATGGTCACATACACTCATGAAGACTAAAAATAAATACTGAGAAATGTATTTTCACTTCAGAAAAATGAAGCTAAACCACCATAGCGTCTGCAGTTAAAGCCATGCTAAAACCCTCTGAAATATAACAATATTGAACAATGTTTTACAAACATTAAAATTAGTGCAAAAAAGAATATTGCGTACCATATGTCCAGCTTTGAGGATCCAGTAGAAGGCAAAGTTCTTGTAGGTCTTATAGAAAGCTCCAGTCTGGCTCTGGGTTTGCGGGTCTTCCAGCGCCATCCATTTCATTTTGTTGAAGTATTGGAGTCCGTCCCATTTCAGCTGTTTCACCCACAACTCCTGACCTGCTCACAAATAAACACAAATCAATCATTGCACTGCAATCTTGACAACACCCAACCATAATGGTCTTCCTAAATATCAAACTGATGAGTAAAATGGATTATAAAAAGCTTAGACTTACAGACACCACCTATTAACATCCGACCTGGGTGATCTGATCACAAGTGGTCAGCTGCGGCACATTACTAATCACACCTGGCATTAAAAGGCATTGTGTATGACCACTTGCGATCAGATTTAATGGACAGGATGGTCTCTGGTTTCATGACTACATAAATCAGGGTATAGCAAGTTGACAGACTTGACTCGTTGTCTGGGACATATTAGTTTTGGCACTACAGATGATAAATGGTGACACCACTACCAAGTGTAAATGGCCCAAGTGCTAGTCTTAAATGTGTTGGTCAAGAGTTGCCATTCTGCAATGTTTCCTAATGGTTGTCATCCTCACCCACTGTGTCCACAATAAGATCCAGCTGGCCATTGTAGACTGTGACATTGGCCCCTGCAGCCAAAAGCTGATCTACAATGTCCACCACAGGCTTCATGAAATCTCCTGCCATGCTGACAAACACTGCCTCAGCTTGTCCTGAAGAAACAGAAGAACACTTGTAAGAATCATTATGTTGTGATTTTTTTTAACACAAATACCTCTGTAGATCATAAAAAGAATAATTACCTCCCCATGTGACATTCTTTGGTATGACACCAAGCTTCTGTCTGATTGGCCCGTTCATCAACTCTGAAAGGGACTGACGGTGCAAAGGGCGGATGTGGCGACGCTTCAGTGAGGCTGTAAAAAACAAGACAAAATGATGACCAAAACGTTTTAATTTATGTAACAAACGAAGCTGTGCATGTTGAGTTTCTCACAGAGAAATCCATTGGTTTGATCTGAACTGGTCTTCACCATCTCATCAGAGTTTTGAGTGAGGATGTTATAGAAGTTCACATTATTTGTGTTCTGTAACAGAATAAGTTGAGTAACTGAATGAAGCACACAATCTGTTAGATCTAATTTCTTTAAATAAACAATGCATTAAGGCCTCTACTTGAATGTTTTCTTAAGCTACTGGTGCTTGACTCACCTGTTCCACTACATTCTCTGTGATGGACCACATGTCAGTGGCTTTTCGGTACTGGCCCTGTTTCACTGCCTCCAGCACCGCATTTGCTGCTTTAGTCACCTCGTCCAGTCCATTGTCATCCAAAAGAGACTACAGCACAGACACAGCTGCATTAAGCCCTCTGATCAACAGGTGTCTGATGTGTCAGAACACTAGCACATAAATCTCATTATACACTATCGTTCAAAAGTTTGTAAATTTGAAATTAATACTTTTATTCAGCAAGGATGCATTAAATTGATTAAGAGTAAAGACATTTTAAATGTTACAAAAGATTTCTATTTCAAATAAATTTTTTAAAAATAAATAAAATAGTTTTATTCATCAAAAAATCCTGAAACAAAATCATGGTTTCCACAAAAGTATTTAACAGCACACCAGTTTTCAACATCAATAATAAGAAGTCTCTTGAGCAGCAAATCAGCATATTAGAATAATTTCTGAAGGATCATGTGACACTGAAGACTGGAGTAATGACTGCTGAACATTCAGCTTTGCCATCAAAGGAATAAATTATATCTTAAAATATATTAGAATAGAAAACACTGTTTTTACTGTATTTTAGATCAAATAAATGCAGACTTGGTAATCATAAGAGACTTCTTTCAAAAACTTTTGATTGTTAGTGTATTGTTGTTTTGATCATGCTAATGCAATCATGCTTAATCTCTCTAAAAGGAGATGGAGGTGTTATGATGAATTACTCACTGTGCTGTAAAGATAAGGACCCCAAGTCATGACTGAGTCTGCATAAAAAAAGAATAAGCAATCAGATGTGTTGAGTGCTATATTGTAATGCATTACACCTGGTTTATGCAGCCATGCGAGTCAGGACTAAACATGATGAATGTGCGTAATGATTAGTAAACTGAGATATGATAACTTAAAAATCAATAAGAAAGACAAATATAGCTGTAAATATAATTTACAGACCTATAGGAGAGATCCAGGAGTCTCCCAAAGCCACCCCAGCAAAGTTGCATTTGACTGAACCAGCTTGAACTGCCTAAAGAGAGAGGAAATAAACATTCAGTGCAGATTAAAATGAGTTTGAGGTGTGGTCAGTAAATTAACAGCAAATAGAAACTGGTAAAAACTAGTATTCTAAACTGATGCCAGATTTACTTTTGTGGAAGTAGGAACTATTGTGATTCTTCCACTTATAGATGAAATCAGCAAGCGCATGACTTTTTTAGTCTTGTGTGTGTTGCTACAAAATTGCCTCTCATGAAGCCTAAAGTGAGAACAATTATATCAGTACCTTTGTGAGTTCGAGGGAAATGGCTGCTGCCATTTTGCCTCCATATGACTCAGAAAATATATAGAAGGGAATACTCTGTTGGGGAGAAAAGTTGAGATACAAATGTGAAAGGCATATTAAGTTCAATCTGGTAGGTATTTTTGTTTTGCTTACTTGAAACTCTGTCTTTAGAGAGAAAAAGCTCTTGAGGAGGACCATCATGTCTGATGCCACCATCATGGAATGGAATTTTTGATGTGCTTTCAGAGATTTTTAGGGTGCAAATGCAGCCGGATCGGGCACTTTTCATTCTGGGACTTTCTGAACGTATGCATCCATTATCAGGAGCACAACACAAACTGCTTGCATACAGTTTAATTACAGCCAAGAAATTACTACTGTTGTTCTGGAAGAAAAGGGAGGCCCTACAGTCAAATTATGGCTTGGAGAGATGATTTCTACTTTACATTTGGAATTAATTAAGATACTGTTTGAAGGGCAAATTTGAGCAGTTTGACAAAAATCTTGATGGAAACCCTATGGACTAATGCATCATTTGTTCATGTAATGTTTTAATATTTCTTCATCATACTTTACAATTTAAAGATTGTATTCTTTGTTTTTTTCTCTCTTTTCTAATTTTGATTGTATTCTTTGTACAGGTAAAAGAGAAGAAATATGCAAGATTGCAAATCCATCTTCAAAATCTTTGTTTTGTTCTTATGTATATATATATATATATATATATATATATATATATATATAGTGTACAACGTAACATTTTAAGGTTCATTCTGGGTCGTGCATGACGAAAAAGTAATAAGTTGTGGTGCAGTATATTCAATTCACGTTTTTTTTTTAACTGAGAACCAAACCTTTTGTACAAGCAAGAGTATAGCCGAACATGGCAGGTTTACAGGGAAAAAAATTAAAACGTTGCATAGTTCGTATTGCTCTCAAGTTTTTACTTTTAGATCAGTGTTTTAGATATTGTTTCCATTGTTTTTGAGTCAATAAAAGGAACCGACTCAAATGAGTCATTTGTTCTGTTACACAACTGTCAATGCACGTTCGAAAACCCTTAACGGAACCGGTTTAGGAAACCATTCGGTTCCCTTATTATTTTAATTAGGTTCTCGGTTCATAACCTTCATCTGGGTCGATTACCAGGAGACAAATAAAACAACGGACATCTTTCGCTTTCGCTTTCTGTCTAAAGTTACAAAACATATCAGTATATCTTCTCATGTTGCAATTACACTCCTAAGACCAATAACTATAAAAAGTGTGACTGAGCCTGAAAAGTTAGACGTAATCCCTACAAATTTCCAAAGGGTGACATTCAGCACAAAAATACTCCATACCTTTATAAAAGCTCGCAGCAAACAGCAGCACAGCCAGCATGCCAATCCACGAGTGCGCCATTATTATCGCTCTCGCTCTCTCATACGGGCAGTGTTTGGACCCCGGCTTTAAGTACGTTACTCAAACCCAATCCTCTGAACAGTGTGATGCAAGGAACAGTACTGTCCCATATGACTTCAGTCAGCTGACGAACAAGGACGTAAACTGCAGCTTTTCTCTTCCACACCAATAGAGAGCAGCAGAGTGTGTGACAGCGTGACTGACGCCCCCGTTTAAAACAGTGAGCGCCTCCATTGTCCTCATTGTCAATACAGCTCAGGTATGGCCACCTCTAGTCTCAATTCTATCAGGGTTAGACTGTACTTTGATTATCCTCCTCCCGCGACACCTGAATGTCGGATGTGTTGGTTGCTGGTGGACTTAAACAAATGCCGAGTTGTCGCAGATCTTTCCAGCATCATAAAGGAAAAGCTCGGCTACAGCCGAAGGACTATTTTAGACTTGTTTATTGAGGATTGCTACCTGCCCTCCACAGAAAGTATTTATATAGTACGTGATAATGACAGTATAAGGTAAGAACTGTGTTTATAATAGTATGGTGAACGTTTATGCTGTTTTAAATACCTTTAATATTGATAAGTTTATTTATCATGCCTATTGACAGGGTGAAGGTATCCAGTCCTGTTTATATTAATGGAGCAGAGGACTACCAGAGCTCTGAAGCACAAAACTCCAAGACCAAGAAAAGAGGGAGAGGGGATGAGACTCAGATCTGTGAAGGTCTAAGTAAAAAAAAGAAGCATGAAGATGCGCGAAACAATGGCTCTGCACCAGTAGAGGATGCCAAAAAGAAGAAGAAGAAAGAGGTGAAAGAGTCAGCCACCAAACCTGACACCCCTCAAAAGAACATTGAAACCCCCTCTTCTACTAAAAACAACAGAAAAAGCACTTCTGCTGTCCCTGCCAGTGACAAAACAACCCGTACAAAGATTAACCAACCAACGTCAAGTTCGTCGGACAGCAGTGAGGATGAGTCTCACAATAAGGCCCCTCCACCAAAACCTAAACCCAAGCAGAATGGCGCTGCCAAAAAGCCACGGAAAGAAAGCACATCGTCCGATTCATCGTCTTCAGATGACACAGAGAAATCCAAAAGCAGCATTCCTGTACAGCCACTTCCTGCTACTCCTAAACTATCTAGCACAACCTCAAAACTTCCACTACAGACCCCACAACGTAGAGAGAGCTCCACAGATTCCTCCTCCTCATCGTCACCCAGCCAAGTCGAACCTTCAGCTAAGAAATCACAAGTAGCAACTCAGCCCTCCTCAACTACAATTCAGTCTGTCTCGTCTTCTGTCTCTAAAAAGCCTCAGGATAAGCCAGAGAGCTCAGACTCAGATGCCAGTGAAATAGAGCTTGTGATTAAGAAGCCAAACCTGCATGGAATGGGATTGAAAATTGCTGGTGTGAGCCCTGGTGTTAGTGAGGCAGCAGGCAGGGACAGAGGAAACACAAGAGGTCAGGAGAGAGGCAGAGGTCGAGGTGCGAACCGAGGCAGTGGGAGAGGAGGTTTTGGTAGGGCCAAGGGAACACCGTGGAAACAAGACTTTCATTTCAACTATGAAAATGGCGAGCGGCAGAAACCGAATGATTCTCTGACTAATGAAAGCTTTATTCTGCAGGTGAGATGAATGTGAAGATGTGGTTTATAAGAAGAAGTTACTGTTGCCCAAATGTTTGCAAAAGATCTGCAAGAGAAATGGCCTCTAAATCTAGGGTTTTCAACCAGGGATCTGTGGATAAGATATAGTAATCATAAACAATTTCATTTTATTTGTTTATATAAAAAGCTAGATGTTCTCAGTAACATTTTTAAAAATATAATATAAATTATTTATTAATATAATAAACATTTTTGTAAAAAGAAACACTAATTAAAACCTAGCTTTTTATGCTGGTCAGTAAAGGTTGAAAACCCTTGCTCTTGATAAAACATTTTCATAATTTCTGTCATAAGTCTAGACTTGGACAACATTTTCATCTAATAGGTCTTAGTTTTAGGCTTTTCTTTCTATCGTGTTTTAAAATTAAGTAATATATATTTATTAATTAATAATATTTATTATAAATAATAAATACATATTTATTTTTTTATTTTACACTAATCCCTAACTATACAGTTCATGTTGTGTGTTCTTGTAGAATCCACCTGAAATAGCTCCCAAACGAGACTACGCAGCTTTACCCTTGCTGGCAGCTCCCCCTGCAGTGGGCCAAAAAATTGCCTTTAAGGTACAATGTGATATGATGAATGATAATAGATACACTTCAGTTTTTTTTATTTGTTATATCTTGATAGTATTCCTAGGTTCAGTGACCACATGTAAGTTGTCTGTGAGTTTTTATGGATCTCTCCTGTCTTAAAGCTTTTGGAGCTGACCGAGAACTACACACCGGAGGTGTCTGATTATAAAGTAAGCCATTATACACTTCTTTAATGTAAATTGTGTTGTGTGTAATGTAAATTATGTTGTGTTAAAAACAGTTTGCTGTTGTCATTTAGGAAGGGAAGATTATTGCATTCAATCCTCAAACAAAAGTGATGGCGCTTGAACTGCTCTCTCAACCTCAAGGTACCCCCAAAAGTTTTTTTTTTTTTTTGTATTGCCACTGTTTCAGTTATATACATTTGACGCCTGGAGGTGCAGCTGCTCTATTACACACTAGCTTGGACTCTTCTTTCTGCAGCAATACTTTATTTTATTATGTGTCATTTAGCTCCAGCTGAACCTGGCAAGTTTGACCTGGTATATCAAAACTCTGATGGATCCGAGAGAGTGGAGTATGCTGTCACACATGGATCACAGGTACTGAATGTTCTCTTAAAGAAATAGTCATCCATCTAAAAATGTACTCACCCTCGGGTCATTCAAGATGTAGATGTGTTTATTTCTTCATTCCATGAAACAGATTTGGAGAAATTTAGCATTACATCATTTGCTTACCAATGGATCCTCTTCAGTGAATGGGTGCCGTCAGAATGGGTCCAAATAGCTGATAAAAACATCACAATAATCCACACGACTCCAGTCAATCAATAAATCTTTTCTGAAGCAACAAGCTGTGTTTGTAAGAAACAAATCCATCAAGACATTTTCAACTTCAAACTGCTGCTTCAGGCTAAAATATTAGTTTTTTTTATCTATAATATTGTGTCTCCAGTGAAAATGTTGTCTCTTCTGAATCAGGAGAGAAATATGCATAAATCAAGCATGGTTTTCAAGCGAAAACACTTCAAAATAGTTCTAAACAAATATATCGTTGGATTTTGATTTGAGAGGAGAATAGGGGGTGGACTTTTTTACTGGACTCCTATTTTGGACAGAAGTGACTGTTTAAAACGCGTTAATGATTGTTTTTTAAAAAAATACAAACAGCTTTTTTTTTTTTGTGTTGATGGATCTCCAAATCTGTTCCAGTGAAGAAACAAACTCATCTACATCTTAAAGGGCCTGAGGGTGAGTACATTGTCAGGATTTTTCATTTTTGGTTGAACTATTCCTTTAAATGTTACATAATAAAACACATCAAGCTCACACCCACATCACATGGATTTTAGAATGGCTGTAACATTGAATTGACCAATCACAATTCAGGGACAGATCTATCTATTTATTAAAAAGTTTTTACTATGGTTTGGAAATACATATGAACTGCTCAGGGGTCCTACTAAACAAAGGCAAATGTACTTGGTGTCATTAAGTGAGTATGTGATTAATATGAGTTATATAACACACATACACTAACAAAATTACATTTTGCTATTACCTTTATTGGTGGGGAGATGTTTTAGATATCAGCAAGACAGT